GTTGCAAAGAATATAAATAACTAGCTGTTCCCGTGCGACTTCATCCGCATAAAGTTATGAAAATTTTAATTCATTGTTTACATGTGTCCAATTATCAATTGCAAATGTCAAAATGACATGACATAATGACAAAGTGTGGCAACATTGCTTCCTTGATGTTGCCAGCAACTTATGGTCTCTTTCCCACATTAGGGTTTTTATCCAAAATATTTACCCCCTAAGTTTAACGGCGTGAAAATATAGCCTAAAGCGTGACGTAAGTGTAGGGCTTTTTATTAAAAAAGGAATTATTCAAAAATATGCTGTAATTGCTGACATCTTAGGCAACAAAGATTAGTACAAATTATCATTTTATTTATTACAATTAAATCTATTGTACGAATACAAAATCATTATATGTACGAATCATTTGTTGACAATAAATTAATATTATGAGCCATTCATGAGTCAGTCACATTGTAGTTGACAGGATTCTATGCATAACATTCCTTGTTTTGTTATCCTTTTAGATACAACATACGAACAAAGGAAATAAATGTCAAATAACACAAACGAGAAATAGATATTTAACAGTAGTAATATTAATTGCCTACAATAGTATCAATTATCTTAAGGGAATCTATACATATACTAAAATTGGAGGGTCTGTTTGTAATACCAAAAGAAAAATTCCAGATTTTGGGAAGATGATGTATTTGCGTTGCTAATAACAAAAATCGCATTTAATTTGTTGTCTGTCCGTCTGTCCGCAAGCTACGTTTGTTCCGGGTAATCTCGGAAACAGCCGGATTTCGATCGGACTTTCTCTGAAGAGTAGCTGGCTCTTTTTTATCTTAATATTGCGTGGACGAAATCGCGGGCAACAGCTAGTTATAATTTTTTTATACTCAAGGTCACACTGCGCTGTGCCCTCCCCTCGCATCCCGCGTCTTATACCTAAAATTGTGTTCTTTACGATTCCTTTGAAATTACGGACAGCCAAGATATATGCAATAGTACCTTGTAGTAGATGTACGAAAATACGATTTAAATGGACAATACCTGTCTTGCTTACTCTTCATAAAGTGGAATAACAGAATTCAATTTATGAAACCTGTACTTTAGTTTGTTATTACTATCGTCGTTACTAAACAGCTATTTGTTTCTTTTGCTGACCGTACAATGGTTTATGCTAGTGTCTGTACGTATCAAAATAGCAGTTAAAAAAACGCATCTTTGACAATTTCTTACTTGTCTCTAATTTAAAAAAAATAAGATGTATGTCTATAACAAAGTTGCATAACAATATTGCGATCACATGCAAATTTTCCAGAAACTGCGTAATAAAGGCGGGA